ACATAATCACGTCACTCAACTTACTAAAGAGAGAATTTTAAGAGAATTCTGCAAACATTCTCTTCAAACTTGATTGTTAGTTGCTGTCCTAAGTAAATCGTTCATTATATTGTCTGTCGAGTTCATTCGTTCTGCAGCTTTCGAATACTAAAATAAATTTTCAGTTTTTTCTAATTTTTTTATAATTAACTTTGATTTACTGTTTTTCAACTTGATAAGCCGGTAAAGATAGTGAATGAATTGTTTCAAGATGATAATGGCACATTCATTGGGGTTGTAATTGAAAGCGGAAATATATGAACAACTATTTTTTTAATCTTTAAGCCCTTCATTTATTTCTTGAATATCTGAACTAGGTAGGAACTAACTAAGCAACAATTCGCATGGGTCGTACGAGGTCCTTTTTGAGTTTGTTAAAATTGGCCCAGAACGGCCCTTTTTCTGGTTCGTAACAGATCCGTTCTCCTGAAAGCCCTGGAAAGCTCGTTGAAAGCCATTTTCAATTTATTTTTATGAGCTCAAAGTTATTGTTTTCAACTTTGCACACATTTACTCAGCTGAAAGCAGAAATGCTAAAATTATTATTAAAAATATGTTTTTTAATATCATTTTCAGTTTCTTCGTGTTTAAGTATTCTGTTCAAATTTGAAGTGTAGGATATTACTATTAGGAATCAACTGTTGGTTAAAATATCAATATTTCATAATCTTCTTTGACAATTTATGGAGTTATAAATCCTGTAGTTTCATCGGGTTTAGTCTTAGTCATCAATGATCCTTTGTACATTCTAATTCTGCTTGATCACACATTATTTCTGGACGGCCTTCATATTCAGTACATTCACAAGAAAGACATGGATAATCATCAACAGGAACTTCTTCACCAAGTTTATAGATATTGCCACCAGCCTCACAACAATTCGTCTTACAAGACACTTCTCCATATTCATCACAGTAACAAGATTTACATGGATCATTACTAGGAACGTCGGCGTAAAAATCATACTCTGTGCCACCAACCTTACAACCACAATATAAGATTTCAGGACAGCATCGACCAGGCGGAATTTCAGTGGCACATCCTTGTCTTATGTCATTACCGCATTCTTCCCACGAACACATTGATTCTGGACGGCCTTCATATTCAGCACATTCACAAGAAAGGCATGGATCATCCACAGGAATATCTTCACCAAGTTTATAGATTTTGCCATCAGCCTCACAACCACAATATGAAATTTCAGGGCAACATTTACCAGAAACACTTTGATAAACGCATCCTTCTTGTTTTTCTGGACAATTCGTCTTACAAGACACTTTTCCATATTCATCACAGTAACAAGATTCACATGGATCATTACTAGGAACGTCGGCGTAAAAATCATACACTGTGCCACCAACCTTACATCCACAATATAAGATTTCAGGACAGCATCGACCAGGCGGAATTTCAGTGACACATCCTTGTCTTATGTCATTACCGCATTCTTCCCACGAACACATTGATTCTGGACGGCCTTCATATTCAGCACATTCACAAGAAACACATGGATCATCAACAGGAATATCTTCACCAAGTTTATAGATATTGCCATCAGCCTCACAACCGCAATATAAAATTTCAGGACAACATTGACCAGGAACATTTTGAGTGACACAATTTTCTGGATATGCAGGACATCCAACCGCCCAGCAAACAGGTTCTGCTCCGTTGCCGGATACTTCACAAGTGCAACCAGTGCATGGATCATTATCGGGAATTTCTTCTCCGATTTTATAGATTGTGCCATCAACCTCACAACCACAATATAAAATTTCTGGACAACATTGATCGGGATTATTTTGAGTGACACATCCCGGTGGTGGAGCAGCACAAGCACTCGCCCAACAAAGAGGTTCTGGACCGTTGTCTGAGTTTTCACAAGTACAACCACTGCATGGATCATCCACAGGAATATCTTCACCAAGTTTATAGATTTTGCCATCAGCCTCACAACCGCAATATAAAATTTCAGGACAACATTGACCAGGAACATTTTGAGTGACACAATTTTCTGGATATGCAGGACATCCAACCGCCCAGCAAACAGGTTCTGCTCCGTTGCCGGATACTTCACAAGTGCAACCAGTGCATGGATCATTATCGGGAATTTCTTCACCAAGTTTATAGATTTTGCCATCAGCCTCACAACCGCAATATAAAATTTCAGGACAACATTGACCAGGAACATTTTGAGTGACACAATTTTCTGGATATGCAGGACATCCAACCGCCCAGCAAACAGGTTCTGCTCCGTTGCCGGATACTTCACAAGTACAACCAGTGCATGGATCATTATCAGGAATTTCTTCTCCGATTTTATAGATTGTGCCATCAACCTCACAACCACAATATAAAATTTCTGGACAACATTGATCGGGATTATTTTGAATGACACATCCTGGTGAAATATCACAAGCAATTTCTGCGCACTCCAATCCATTTTCAGCACAATAACAGGTTTTACAAGGACTGTTTTGCGGTACAGGGGCCCCAATAGGATAGAATACGCCATTGTCTGTACATCCTGGAACAGGCTCACATTCTTTGTCAAATAAGATTTATTCATTAGTTTTTAAGAAATTGAAAAAAATAATTCTTACTTTGTGATGTTGAAGAAGCTATTGAAAATAAAATTGAAATTAATTTCACGAATGAGAAGTGCGTTAGTTTTTCACCTTAGTAAATAAATATTCACCTGTTGAAACAAATGTGATAACTATCAAAAAAACCGAACTTTTCGCGATCATTTTCATTTCTTACGAGGTTTAATCTTTGAAGTCGAAATGAAGGATGAGTGAAAAAACCCTAAGAATACCTTCTTTATACTTAAAAATCAATATCACTTAATTTTGATGAGAAACTTCTCTGAGTAATGAGAAGTAATAAAATTTGTGCAAACCACAACCAAGTATTTTTATCGAATAAAGTCATACATTGACAGATACTAAATTAAGAAAAAAGTAATAAGATCAAATTTCTCTCAATTTATAAAGATGACAAAAATGTACTAGAGTGTAAACTGGTTTGAACTGAACATATTCGCTTATCAAATTATTGGATTGTTTATAATTTGATCGATCAATTGATCAAATGCATTATTGTCAAAGTTAGTAAACAACATTGTCTCTATTTAATCTTACTATTTTCTAGTCTTTTCTTGCCTAGAAGAAAATAAATAACAATTTATAACTTTGATAACATCACGAAAAAGTAATGTAAGTCATTTTACCTTCTGTGGTTTTTTTCAGTAGATATCATCGAATCTGAATGTCTTATCTTGATAAAATGTCATAATTTTTGGAAGTTAAAAGGAATTTCTGTATGTATCGTTACTTTCTTAATTGCGCATTAATAAAAAGTAATTAGATAATACAATAAAAGACTGCTACCTAGAACTTTCAGTGTTGTTGATAATGTTAAATTTCGAAAATTTGTAGATGTTTATAATCAGAATTAAATTGCTTTACTAACAATGAAGCAAAAGTAAGCTTTGCAAGTTTATACAGTCCCAGTCCGTGCGAAATTAATTTAAATTTATAACATTTTATAACGAATAAAATTTACACATTATTGAATGCTTTGAAAGCCATTTTTAATTTATTTGTATGAGCTCAAAGTTAATGTTTTCAACTTTGCACATATTTACTCACCTGAACGAACCAATGTTAAAGTCATTATAAAAAATAAGTTTTTTAATATCATTTTTAGTTTCTTCGTGTTTAACTGCTCAAATTTGAAGTGGAAGATATCAGGAACAAACTAGGTATTCTTTAAATAACAATTTTCCAGCGACTGTTTTACTTCTCTGAGTAGTAAATCTCCAATTTCTCTAACATCAAAGTATACAAAATTAGAAGTTGAAAGAAGATATTAATGAAAAAATATCCAATAATTCTCAAAGTGTATATTCGAGTCACAAATAAGACGATCCCATTAATATTTGTTGATCTTTAAGATATGGTTTTCTGCAAATGTTTTCACAGGTGAAATAAATGAAGTCATCATGTAGAAGTTTTTCGATAAACCCAATATATATGTAAATACATGTAAAATTCATTTAAACAGTTGACGTGCATTACATTTTTATTAACTGATTGGTCCTAATTAGAGTTTTTATTAGTGATTTTGGTCTTTCAGTATATTTATGAACCACTTGCCGTCACTCATATAAATTTTATTATTGTTTAAATCAGAATAAGTAATTGATGCAGAGTTTTCTATTTTGCAATAATCAAAAAAAAAAAATCAAAAGCAGAAAAGCGTTTTATAAAATGCATTTTGATTGAAATATCTAGCGATTAAATCCAAGAAAATGTACAGAGATAAAACATTTTCTTTTCATTTCAAAATATCGATTTATTTCATAATCTTCTTTGACAATTTATGGAGTTGACATTTCTGGAGTTTGCATAGTTTCACATCCNGTTTGCACAAATTTTACTACATCTCATTACTCAGAGAAGTTTCTCATCAAAATTAAGTGATATTGATTTTTAAGTATAAAGAAGATATTCTTAAGGTTTTTTACTCATCCTTCATTTCGACTTCAAAGATTAAACCTCGTAAGAAATGAAAATGATCGCGAAAAGTTCGGTTTTCTTGATAGTGGTAACATTTGTTTCAACAGGTGAGTATTTATTTACTAAGGTGAAAAACTAACGCACTTCTCATTCGTGAAATTAATTTCAATTTTATTTTCAATAGCTTCTTCAACATCACAAAGTAAGAATTATTTTTTTCAATTTCTTAAAAACTAATGAATAAATCTTATTTGACAAAGAATGTGAGCCTGTTCCAGGATGTACAGACAATGGCGTATTCTATCCTATTGGGGCCTCTGTACCGCAAAACACTCCTTGTAAAACCTGTTTTTGTTCTGAAAATGGATTGGAGTGTGCAGAAATTGCTTGTGATGCTCCACCGCCGGGATGTGTCACTCTAAATAATCCCGATCAATGTTGTCCTGAAATTTCATATTGTGGTTGTGAGGTTGATGGCACAATCTATAAAGTTGGTGAAGGAATTCGTAATAATAATCCATGCATTAACTGTGTTTGTGAAGAAATTAAAGGCCGTGTAGGACTTCATTGTGGGGCAAACACTTGTGTTATACATTCAGCATGCGTCTATCAAAATATTCCCGATCAATGCTGTCCTGAAACTTTATATTGCGGTTGTGAAGTTGATGGCACAATTTATAAAGTTGGTGAAGAAATTCCCGATAATGATCCATGCAGCACTTGTACATGTGAAGCATCGGACTACGGTCCAGATGCTATTCCAGAACCTGTTTGCTGGGCTGTTGGATGTCCTGAATATCCAGGAAATTGTGTCACTCAAAATGTTACTGGTCAATGTTGTCCTGAAATTTCATATTGTGGTTGTGAGGTTGATGGCAAAATCTATAAAATTGGTGAACAAATTCCTGATGATGATCCATGCATCTTTTTATCTTCTTGTGAACCCTCCGAAAACGGTCCAGAACCTATTAGATGGGTGAGTGATTGTGGGGATTTTCCACCAGGATGTGTCACTCAAACTCCTCCCGGTCAATGTTGTCCTGAAATTCTATACTGTGGCTGTATGGTTAATGGTACCTTGTATCCTCCAGGATCCGAGACTCGTTATCATGATTTATGCCTTTCCTGTAAATGCGATTACTATGCAACAAAATTTTCTTGTGAGCAGTTGGAGGAATGCTGTATGGTTGATGGCACAGTGTATCCTGATTTATCCGACATTCCTAATGATGATCCATGCCTTTCTTGTCGCTGTGATTATGGAAAAGTTCAATGTGAACAGATGGAATGCTCATACCCACCACCAGGGTGTGAAAATGTTCAACCTTCTCCTGGTGTTTGTTGTCCTGATTATCAAGCACTCGGTTGTGAAACTGTACAAACCCCAGAAATGTCAACCCCAGAAATGTCAACTCCATAAATTGTCAAAGAAGATTATCAAATAAATCGAAATTTTGAGATGAAAATTGTGAGTTTTTATAAGTACTTTTTCCTGTATTCATTCGCTATTTCTATCCCAATGCTTTTGAATTTTTGTTTGATTATTGCGAAATAGAAAATTCTGTTTCGCGTAATATGAATTAAATAATTTTAAAATTTATTAGAGTGGTGGCAAGTGGTTCATAAGTATAATGAATGACAAAAATCACTAATAAAGACTTTAATTAGGGCAATAAAAAATCAGTAAATAAGGATGTATTGCACGTTGAACTGTTTAAATGAATTTGACATACATACATTAAATAATTTCATCTGTGAAAACATTTGCAGAAAAACATATACAGTGAACTCTCGTTATAATTAACTCTGAAGGGACCGAGAAAATGGTAATTATAACGAGAGAAAAATTATAACGAGAGAATTTTGTTCCCGTTTTTTTTCGAAATGATTTTCGAAACGGTAATTATAACGAGAGAAGAGTTATAACAAGAGTTAATTATAACGAGAGTCCACTGTATCTTAAATATCAACAAATATTAATGAGATCCTCTTATTTTGTGCCTTCAATTTATAATTTGAGATTTATTGGATATTGCTTCACTAATATCTTCTTTAAACTTCTATTTTGTATAATTTGATATTAGAGATACATATTTGATACTTGACGTTTACTACTCAGAGAAGTAAAACAGTCGCTGGAAAATTCTTATTTAAAGAATAGTTTGTTCGTGTTATCATCCACTTCATATTTGAACAGTTAAACGCGAAGAAACTACAAATGATGATGAAAAACTTATTTTTAATAATACCTTTAACATTTGTTCGTTCAGGTGAGTAAATATGTGCAAGGTTGAAAACATTAACTTTGAGCTCCTACAAAAAAATTAAAAATGGCTTTCAAAGCATTCAATAATGTGTAAATTTTATTCGCTATAAAATGTTATAAATTTAAATTAATTTCGCACAGACTGCGAGACTGTTCAAGGATGTATGGAAAATGACGTCTTCTATCTTGATGGAGAAGTGGTTCTTCAATACGATCCTTGTAAAATCTGTAATTGTATTGGAAATGAAGTGAAATGTTCTATGATGACATGTGCCAAGCCACTACCAGGATGTGTCACTCAAAAGAACCCTGAAAAATGTTGTCCTGAAATTTTATATTGTGGATGTATGATAGATGACAAAATGTACGAATATTGTGCAGACGTTCCAAGTAGTGATCCATGTAAATATTGCTACTGTGACAGGAATGGTGAAGTATCATGTGATGTCATGACGGAATGTCCAGAGCAACAGGAGGAATGTGTTTACCAAAATTCTCCTGATCAATGTTGCCCTGAAAAACTTTATTGCGGCTGCACGAATGATGGCCAAGTTTATCATGCTGGTGAAGAAATTTCTAGCATCGATTCATGCAGTTATTGCTACTGTGAAGAAAATGGGGAAATTCGATGTGAGATGATAGAATGTCCACAGCCACAATATGGATGTGTTTACTATAATAATCCCAATCAATGTTGCCCTGAAATATCTTATTGTGGCTGTATGGTTGATGGCAAATTTTATCTTGTTGGTGAAGAAGTTCCTGGCCCTGATGCGTGTACTTTTTGCTTCTGTAAAGCTCCTGAAGTGATTCCTTGCAAATCTAAAAAATGCTGAAATATTAAGATGGAGTGTTATAAAATTTTAAAAAATAAATCGACCAGCCAAGATTAAAGTTGATGTAAAAATATTTTTGTAAAATAAAGAAAAGTTTTGTCTCATTTTTTAATTATGGTTTTTATTTTTCTTTGCATCAACTTGCAAAACTTACTTATGCTTCATTGTTAGTAAAGGAAGTTTATTCTGACTATGAACATCTACAAATTTTCGAAATTTAACATTGTCAACAACGCTGAAAGTTCTAAGTATGATGAAAACGTCGAAATTTTATTTACTTCTCTAGCAAACATTCGCTCGAAAGAGATAAAATGTGAACACATGTGTTTGCTTAAGATAACTTCATATGAAGCAAAACATTTAGTTCGCTTATTATTCTGTATTTTGTGAATTCATTTTACTATAAAAGCATCGATAAAAGTTCTCATGTTGATAAATTTTTTCTAAATCGTTTAATTTATTCCATTTTTTCCAGCATCGCTGCTTCATCCAAATCTTTCATCAAAGCAAACTCAAGAATTGACGTTAGTCGAAAGAAAAGTCAACCAAAAATTGATCGTCTAGACTCTTTACGGGGCTCTTGCTCCGATTCTGTCTTTCATGAAACTTTTGGTCCATTATCGAACGTCAGGTTTGTTAGTTTGCAAAACGGTTGAATTTGTCGTTTAATTATCTCATAGTCGTTGATTTTCTGTTGCTGTTGTATTTTTATTGCTTTCTTTTCGTTTGGTTTTGCTTTTCTTAATGTTTTATAATTTGTTTCTCATTAAATTTGCGTTAATTAAAGCTTTGATTTATCGCAAATGACATTAAATCGTATTTTATTGTTGTACATCCCATAACTGTATTTATAATTAACTTTATCATTTATTTTTTGGTGATAACAAAACCAAATTTGTAATTTCCTCGAAGAAACGTGAGAAATCAAATAGCTAAAGCTTAACAATAAATTCCATTCAGGTTTGCTGTATTTGCATTGGGTTCATCAGCTTACCCCAACTTCTGTTCATTTGGAAAATTTGTTGATAATATTTTGGGTGAGTTGGGAGGCGAGCGACTTATGAAAATTGTTTTGGGTGATGACTTATGCGGACAAGAACAGGAGTTCCGCAAATGGGCGTGTGAAGTTTTTAAAACGTCAAGCGACGTTTTCTGCCTCGACGTGAGCGAGATGTCAGAAGCATCAATGTCTTTAAAGAGTGAAACGTTAACAAAAGAAAACACCAGATTTCAAGTCGTGAAAGATTTTAACATTCCATTGAGCGCTCTACTGAGTAAATACCACAACAAAAAGGTACAGGCATGCAAAGTTAAGAATAAACCGATTAACCTGCATGGAGGGGCGACGTCAGAAAGATCAACGGTGTTGGTGGAAATTATCATAGATAGTGTAAGTCATGAAACTTACCAAAACTTTCTGTCGCTTATGGAAAAATGTTCAAAACTTTTCAATTAATTTCATGCTAATTAAATTCATCTTTTTCCATTCCTTTTTCCATCTAAACGACGACGCTATCAACAAAAGTCTTTGAATTACGAACCGGGAGATCATGTGGGCGTCTGTCCAATGAATAGAAAGGAGTTAGTCGATGGAATTTTAGAGAAGCTAACAGGAGTTGCTGATACGGATGAAGAATTACAGCTTCAGATTTTGAACGAGAAACATACGTCAAATGGTGAGTGAAGTGTAATTTAAGTAGAACGCTTGAATATTTTATTTAAAAATCAAATGTTTTATAAGGAGTCACTCGTACATGGGAGAGTCATGAGAAAATTCCGACATGTTCGCTTCGTACGATGTTAACAAGATTCATGGACATAACGAGTCCACCATCTCGACAATTTTTAACATTTCTCTCAGGATATTGTGAAGACAATGATGATAAAGAACGAATGGAAATTCTTGCAACTGAGTCAGCAGCTTACGAAGATTGGCGTCACAACAAACTGCCTCATTTGTTGGAGGTGTTTGATGAGTTTCCTTCTTGTAAGCCTCCAGCCGCTCTTTTTGTTGCCCACTTAATGGCTTTACAACCTCGCTTCTACTCAATCTCATCTTCACAAAAGAAATATCCGAATGAGGTTCATTTAACCGTCGCTATTGTAAAGTACAAAACGAACGGTAAGCATAAAAATAAAAATAAAATCTCAACTCAATCTTCTTTAAAGTGGCTTTGTATTCTGAATCGTTTAGATGGAAAAGGGGATGAGCGATATGGAGTTTGTTCGAATTATTTGGAAAGACTTGATCACGATGAAGAAATTCAGATATTTCTTAGAAGTGCTCCTGGCTTTCATCTTCCCAAAGATACATCGCAACCAATCATTCTTATTGGACCTGGTAAGTTTAATATTTTACATTGAAAGACCACTTGAGATTGTCTTCTTATTCTTCTTCTTAAGTTCTTCTAACTTTCACTTGATTTTGATAAGTGTGACAAAATAAAATAAGAAAGTTCAAAAGAAAAATGAAAATATTGAAATTGAATTTTGTAACAAGTCAATAAATGTCTAAATTATTATGATTGCAAATCAAACAGGCACCGGAACAGCCCCATTTCGAAGTTTTTGGCAAGAACTTGATGAAATTAAATTGCAAAACACTTTGTTCAATGTACCAAAAGTTTGGCTATTCTTCGGGTGTCGTGCAAAATGTTTGGATTTGTATAGCAATGAAAAGAAGGAAATGTTGGAAAAAGGAATCCTCGATAAAGTCTTTTTGGCATTATCAAGAGAAGCCAACATACCGAAAGTAAGTTAATTTAAGTTCAACATCGCCTCCATCTGAGTTTTAAATTCCTTTTCTTTTCTCGCAGACTTATGTTCAAGATCTGATAATGAAGGAATCAGCAGAAGTTTGCGACTTAATTAAGCACAAAAAAGCTCACATTTATGTTTGCGGAGATGTTCAAATGGCTGAAAACGTGTATCAAACTTTAAGGTGAATATCTTACTGCGATGAAAGGAATTTAAACAATAAGTTAATGCAAATTCCTTTATTCAGAAAAATCATCGCAGACTCCGACAAACAAACTGAATCGGCAGCTGAAAAGTACATGCTTCAACTAAGGGTAATGCAATCTTCATGTTAAAATCTAATTGAATGAAAATTTAAAATTATAATTTTACAATTTCTTACTTCACAGGATGAGAATCGTTATCACGAAGACATTTTCGGAATAACTTTAAGAACAGCGGAAATTCATAACAAGTCACGTGAAACAGCTAAAATTAAAATGGAATCCCAATCGAGATTCAATTAAAACATTCAACACTATTCAGAGAATTACTTACTTAATTTCATATTCTATCACAAAGCTTAATTAAATGAATATTTGCATTAATACATAATAAATATATCTTGTGAGCAAAAGCTATGATTTTAAATTAAATTATCAATAGAAGACATAAAACAGATTTTATGTACATTCACTGCTTTCTAAATACAAAATACTGAAATCTTTTTGTAAACTCGCATTCATCAGTTCAAATTTTGCTAAAATGTCTTTTAATATTAATCAAACAAAATATTAAAAAACAAAGAAGCCAACGAAGCTTTCAAATTTAAATATTTTTAATCAAATTATCCACTGACAAATAAAATTTGAAGACACAAATAAACAACTTAACATCAAATTAACTTCATTAGATATGAAATAGTTATTCAATTAAAAATATATTCAAAATTTAAACATTTTTGGAATCTTGATGTTGTTAAAATCTATCTTACGTATCTGATAAACATTTAATCTTCAAACTTTATTGAAACTATCTTGACGTTGGTTCTCACTTATATACAATACAAGCTTTCAATCAGCTTCAAGCTTTGAAGAGAAAAAATATTTCCACACAAAAAAAAAGTTAAAAATAAATAATTCATTTCGACAAATTCCTCAAGAAATTCTTAGCATATTCATTCAGCTTCAGTTACTATGTCTAATAAAATATTATGGTTGAAGGTGGATCAATAAATATTTTAAAAGTCATTAAAAAACTTTTATCGTGTTTTTCTTCATCTTTCTCATCCTATCGTGTTTTGGTTTCAAAAGAAGCTTCAAAAAGAAGCTTTTTAGCAAATATAATTACAAAGATGTTTTCTTAGCAAAAAGTTAAGAGAAAAGCTTTAAACATGCAGTGCATAAAAAGTGGGGGGGGAAGCGGTGAAACGATCTACTTCAAACCTATATAAATGCCACAACAACGGATCATTCGGCTTGAATTTTGTTCAGTATCAATTTTGTTGTCTGACTGTTAATTAACACTTACAATTAGGTAAGTTTCACTTCCATCCAGCATCATCTTTCATCATTTAGTGCAATGAAAGTTTGTGATAATTTTTTGTGATAAACTTCATAACGAAATAAATAAATATTTTGTGTGAAATTGAAATTTGTGATTCAAACTCTTTTCTTATTCAATAGCATGCAAATAAAGTTATTTCATGTGGCAACAAACGGAAGAGAATATAAATCAAATCGAACAGTGTTCGTTTAAAGAAATATGCTAATTGTTTGAAATTTCTTGCCCGCAGTTTAATTAAAATTGAAAAATGATGATAAAAAAACCAACAAGAAAGTAAAAATGACAAAAAAGAGAACAAGAAGCAGATTAGCATAAAACAGTTTAAATATTCAAATGATGAAAATGAATAAAATTGTTTCTTCTTTCTTCTTATGTTTTGTTTATGGTTCATGTTTCAGCAAAATGAAAGTAGTTTTTTGCCTGTTGGTCTGCTTATCGATTGCCTTTGCAATGCCACAAAAAGAAGGAGCTGCTTTCTCAAACGATGCTATCAGACAAGCTCAAAATTCAGCTCTTATTCCACAAGGCGCAACAATCCAAAATGTAAGTAACACAACGCACAAATTTTGATTTACTTTGTAAAGTTAAACATTTTTTTTTCGTTTCTCTTTTCCTAGGTTCAAGAGGGAATTGAGCTTGCTGCTTATGAAAACATTCCCGGCGGTCAGAGAATAAACCTTCAAGAAATCTTGGGAGCTGAAGTTCCATCGGAAGTCATCTCAAACCTTCAAGGACAAATCGACGGAGTCGGACGCAACTAAATCTCACCATATTGCAAACATGCAAAGAATATGAATCTTTAATGTTAGCTGAGTCGTCGATGTGCCAACCAAATTTAAATTAAATTACAAAAAAAAAGTTGAAATAAAATTTAATTTGTTTTCACAATAAAATCGAAAAAAAAAATAACAAGAAGAAACCAGTTTATTTCACTTTGATGTGTCACATAACGCGAAGTATTTAATAATAAGAAAGAAGCCACAATAAGCTTGCCGACTAAATAATGTCAAAATGTCAAGTCGTGTCATGTAATTGATGCTTTCTTGATTGGGCGTATAAATAAACAGAGAAGAAACTCTCTCGATACCTTTTCCTTCCAACTTTCACTTTCACGATCAGGTCTTTCGGCTCGACAACTCGACATAATAAAGTAATCGACACATGATTAAAATATTGATTACATGTCGTTGATTTCTTTGTTGTTTTTATTTATTTCTTTGCGTTCGAAGAAGTCATTTTCGATTCATACAATTTAAATTTGCTTATTGAATGTAAGCAATCAACAAACGAAACCGGTTAAATAGCGGGCATGGATGCAACGTTTCACCGATTAATTGCGTAACGGTGATTACCGAAAAAATATTATTTTGCGTTACAGGGAAGCAAATATGATATAGAAATGTGTGACGACAATCAAAAACTCATTTAAAACATTACGCGGTTTTACTTAATCATTAATGTTCGTGAAATTTAATTTTACAAAACATGAGCTTCATCTAATTTTTGGTTCAGACTTAGAATCTAGAAAGTTAAAAAAATTCTTTTTTAATAAATTAATGGCAAACGGTAAAATGTTCTTCTTAAATTCATAATTCGTCTTTCAATTTGTCATCTGATGAAGTTTCTTCAAAAGTTGTAGCTGCAATAATTAAATATTTTATGTGAGGTTGCTGTTGTTGATATTTAATATCATCAGTTGACTGAATTTGCTTGATTCGTGACTTATGACAAAAGCAACATTATTGGTTTCCTACCGAATCGTTAATGTGGTTAAACAGACAAAAAAAAAGATTTGTTTTGAAAATTAAATATTTTTTGCGGTAGTCGTCGCGACTTTCATTTTATTCCATTCCCATTGCAGCTTCGAGAATCTTTTGTGATGGTGATTTTGGTACGGGATTCGTCTTCAACCAGTATTCCGATAAACTGATATAAACTCCAACGACGATGCCAAAGATTGCGGCAAGCCATGTTGAGTTTTGAAAAATAATGCATACAGTCACGCAGAGACCGAGGTAAAGACAGTAACGTGTTAGCGTGACATATTGATCTCGTTTCTCGTTTGTAAGATCTGCATGGATGAAACAAAATTTTGTTGACTCTGAATTTGTTTTTTTAAATCTTCATTGGAATTTGGAATATATTTTAATGGTCAACATTTGACTAATTTATGCAACTTGCATACAAATGATAAGCTTATGGAAGGAAATTATTAAACATAAAAAAGAATGTCGTTATAATAAATTTTATTTCAAAGTCAAGCGAGCTATCATCACATCAAAAAAAAAGGCAGGCATGCAATTTTTTTTGCTTTCGAAGCAAAAAATGACACTGAGAACTGTTAGAGAAGGATTTTTAAAAAATCACAACTAATTCACTCAAAAATACGCGACTAAAAGCCAATCATAAGTCAGCAAATCAAACAAAAGCGAAAAACATCAAACAAACTCAAATTCAATTAACGCACCTGTACACATTCCATCCCGCAGTTCATATCCATCAGCACATTTGACACACATATCAGGACCGTCACCATCACAGCCATTGCAGGATTTATCGCATTCAAGACATTGATACGATCCTTCGCTATTTACACAAAATTGATTTTCACCTGGACAAGCACTTTGCTCGACACATTCGTTGATGTCGTAACATCCTTCACTCTCTTTCATGAACCAGCCCGACTTACATTTTACACAATTCTTTGTCCCTGGTCCCGAGCAGCCTTCATGACAAGCGACGTGGCATTGTGAGCACAGAAGTTTGCTTTCATCTTTGAAAGCTTCATAAAAACCATCAGAACATTGCTGACAATTTTCACCTGAATATCCTTTATCACAATTGCACTTTCCATTTCCTTTACGTGTTCCATTTCCTTTGCAATAACCATTTCCTGAACAATCTGTGCATTCTAAACAATCCTTACCGAAATAATTTGGATGACAACAAACTTTCAAAGTTTCAATGCAAAACCATTCAAAGAAATCTTGAAAAATTAAATAAAATTTAATTAAGTTATTCGTCTTTTTCTGATGAATGAAAATTACCTGGATATTCATCTTGACGTTTCCACCAGTACTCAATGTCACTTTCATGCTCTTCAGCAATAGTTAAGCACTGTTGTTCACCTCTTGTAATGTCGGTGCACAACATTTCTTGAATTTCTACTAGCCTCACTTCACTCGTCTTGTAACTTCCAAGTTTTTGCTCCTCCCAATGAGCATCACCTCCGTCATGTTTTCCACGTTGTGTTTTTTCTAAGCCCTAGAGAGATTTTTTATATGATTAGATAAGAAATATTTCTGGATTATTAATTATAGAAAACTTACTTTCTTAAAAGAATCCACAAAAATTGCACACGATTTGCATGGTGGATACTTTTGTTGTTTCTCTGCTTTCAGCTTCTCATCTTTTGTTCCAAAATTATCTTTGATAATAGGTTGTAAGTTGCAACTCACAATTGTTGATGTCAATAAAATATTAAATATCAAAATGTGAAGTTTGTGCATTTTCGAATAAACTTTGTGATGATTCTATGGAGAGAACTTGAACTTTAAATTAATTGCTGAAACGATTTCTATTTGTTGGATAGAAAAGACTTTTTCAAATATCGTGTCTCATTCAGAAAAATATTAAAATCCACCCGGAAAATTTTTTAGGAAGAAAAACTTGACGTGTTTTCAGCACATTCAGCAATTCAGCAGATTTATGATACGAAGGGCTTGTCAAGTTGTTCTTATAAATTTTGAACTAACGAATTTTTTATCTGATTTCATTCACTTTTTCGAGAAAGCTTTAAAGAACTTTTAAAAAGCTACTAAATAGAAGCCTTCGCTTTTAAACTTACTTATATGTGGTAGTAGATATCTAACCACATATTGTTATGTATTATTGCTTATTTTGAGGTAGTTTATTTTCGAGTACGAAACAAGTATGAGCATGTTGAGATTAAAATTATGAATTAAATTGAAATTAGGTGATAATAAATATTAAACAATAGAAAAATTAAAGTGTAATACTAATTAGTGTTACTAATTCCATTTAAATATTAAAGAAAACTCAAAAATGGAGAATTTAACATTAAAAGCTTTGCAATTGTGCAATGTGATGAAATAATGTTGCTATTAAATTAAAAATAGTAAATATCTATTAATTGTACATGTTAAAGTTCCTTGAATATTATCAAAAACAGAAACAAAGTGTTGAAAATATGGAATCACTAAACAAAACAGCTAAACTTTCTAAATGTCCACAAGAAGATGCAAGCTTTTTGTCATTTCTTACATTTTCATGGATTTTTCCGATATTTTTCAAGGGTAGTAAGCAAACTCTTGGTGTAAATGATCTTTATGAACCACTTAACGAACAAAAAGCTGATAAGTTGGAAAATGACTTACAAAAAGCATTTAAAACACGGTTAGAATTAGTTCCATCAATTGTTGATGTCTTCGGGATGAAAATATTAGTTCATGGGATGATTATATTGTTTGTTGAGTGTGCCATTAAAATACTTCCCCCAATATTCCTTAGTCAACTTATAAAATTTTATACAAACTCCAGTGGAATCAATCAAAAAGAGGCAGCTGCATACTCGTTTGGAATTATTTTTTCAATCTTCTTAAACAGCATGATTTCGAATGCATCACATGTTAATGGCTTAAAATTAGGAGCAATGATAAAAGCAGGAGTATCTTCAATGATTTATCAAAAATCTTTGAAACTCTCAAAAACTTCTTTGGGTAACATTACAACGGGGAAGTTAATAAATTTACTTGCGACAGATGCTGGGAAGTGAGTTGTGGAACATTAGTTGATTATAGAATAATTCAATTTAATGATTTAGATTCCAAGGAATTATCTTTTGGATTCATTATTTATGGGTTGGTTTCATCCAAACAGCTTTAGTGACGTTCTTGATATATCAAGAAGTTGGTGTGTCAGCTTTTGCTGGGATATTTGTTCTTATTTCACTTCTACCCCTTCAATGTAAGTAATAATCACATTAAATTTATGTTGATTAACATGGAAAATCATCTTCAGTATATGCGGGAACTAAAATTTCTAAAATATGCTTCGAAACAGCGAAACGAACTGACAAGAGAGTTCATTTAATGAATGAAGTAAGTTAAGTAAATTTTATCAAAGAAAAATCATTAAAATTAATTAACTTTTGTTAAAAGATGATAAAAGGAATTCAAGTGATTAAAATGTATGCGTGGGAAAAACCATTCAACAAAATCATTTCAGTCTCGAGATTTAATGAGACAAAACTTATTCGATATCATTGTTGGATTCGAGGATTTTTTCTGTCTTGCATAATTTTTTCAGTCCCAGTTGCTGTTTTTTCAACTTTGGTGACTTATTCAATCCTTGGAAATGAAGTTACAGCTCAAAAAGCATTTGTTGTGGTTGCATTCTTTAATGTTATAAAATTTACTATGGTCATCATGTATCCATTTGCTGTTAATTATGCGATTGATTGTCGAGCTTCAAGTATACGAGTCAATAAATTTTTAAAGCAAGAAAATGATTTGTTGGAAATAAAACCAAATATCAAGGTTCATGAATCTATTGAATTAAAACTGAATAAAGTGTCAGCAAAATGGAAAGGAGAAGCAACAGAATTAACTTTATCGAACATTAATTTGGATGTTCAATCATCGACAATTCTAGCCGTTATAGGAAAAGTTGGTGCTGGAAAGTCGAGTTTGATTCAAGCGATTCTTGGTGAGTTGCCAATCGAAGGTGGAGACATTCAAGTGAATGGAGTCATCTCGTATGCATCTCAAGAGCCTTGGCTGTTCTCTGGTTCCGTTCGTCAAAATATTCTCTTCGGCGAATCTTATCAAAAGGATCGCTACAAAGCTGTCATCAAAACTTGTTCACTTACGAGAGATCTCGAAATGTGGCCTGATGGCGACAAGACAATTGTCGGTGAACGTGGCATGAGTTTGTCTGGTGGACAGAAAGCGAGAATCAACTTGGCTCGTGCAGTTTATCGTAAAGCTGACATTTATTTACTTGACGATCCTTTGAGTGCTGTTGACGCTAATGTTGGTCGCCATTTGTTCGACAATTGCATCAAAGAATTTCTTAAAAACAAACTCGTGATTCTCGTCACACATCAACTTCAATATTTACCAACAGCTGATCAAATTCTTCTCTTAAATCATGGAATTGTCGAAGGTGTTGGAACTTTTGAAAATCTTCGCGATTCAGGCTTAGATTTTGCAAATCTTTTACCGAAAAATGAAAATGTTGAAGAACAAAAATCAGAGAATTTAGCACAGAAACACTCAAAAGGAAAATTCAATGAAGATAATTTTGTGGAAAAGAAGGAAAATATTGAAGAGAAACGTGTAAAAGGTTCAGTTGGATTGAAGCCTTATAAAGATTATTTTAATGCAGCTGGTGGCTTCAAAAGCATTTTCATAATCTTCATTTTATACATTTCATCTCAGATTTTTACTTCAACTAGCGATTATTTTGTGTCTTATTTGGTACGACAAGAAGAAATGCAAAGTAATGTTGAAATTGATGAAAATTCCTACGAACGTAACGTTGTCATTGCCATTTTTAGTGGATTAATTGTCGGAGTAATTTTATTGACATTAAGCAGGAATTTTGTATTTTCCATTCTTACAACTCGAGCTTCTCGTCATCTTCATGATGCTATGGTTGCTGGTATAACGAAAGCTTCAATGTATTTCTTTAATACCAATCCTTCGGGAAGAATTCTTAATAGATTCAGTAAAGACATTAAAGAAGTCGATGAAATTTTACCTTTCACTCTTGTTGATGTGTTTCAAGTTATCTTTAATATTTTGGGAGCTGTTACAGTGCTTGTTGTCATCAATCGATTCTATCTCATCCCAACTTTTGCTTTATTCACAATTTTTCATTATCTGAGAAAATTCTACTTAAAAACATCGCTTGACGTCAAACGAATTCAATCAACAAGTAAGAAAATAAACAATTTTAATATCAAAATGATTTTCTTTAATTAATGTTTAGCTTCATCACCGATTTTCTCACATTTTTCTGAAACACTCAACGGACTTTCAACGATTCGAGCTTTTAATGCTGAGAAAATTCTCGCTTCGGAATTCAACAGACATCAAGATTTGAATACGTCAGCGCATTATATTTATCTTGTGACGTCACGAGCTTTTGGATTGTGGCTTGATGTCTCTTGCGTTATTTACATCGCGATTGTTGTTTTGAGTTTCTTTCTAATGGAAAATACCGGTGAAAATGTTGGACTTGCAATCACACAAGCGATGGGTTTAACTGGAATGGTTCAACAAGGAATTCGACAAACAGCATCATTAGAGAATTCCATGACGGCTGTTGAACGTGTTGTTGAGTACAACACTGTTGATCCCGAACCAGATTTTGATTCGAAACCAGAAAAAAAGCCACCAAAGGAATGGCCTGAAAAGGGTGAAATTAAATTTGAGAAACTTTCATTGAGTTACGTTCCAGACGAGATGGAAGAAAAAGTTTTGAAAGAATTAAATTTCGAGATCTTGCCACAAGAGAAAATTGGAATTGTTGGACGAACGGGAGCTGGTAAAAGTTCAATTATTAACGCACTATTTCGTTTGTCGTATATTGACGGTCAGATTTATATTGACACGAGAGACACACAAGCGATGGGACTTCACGACTTAAGATCGAAGATTTCGATCATCCCACAAGAGCCGGTTTTGTTTTCGGGCTCGATGCGCTACAATCTCGATCCGTTTGATGAATATTCTGATGCAAAATTGTGGAGTGCACTTGAGGAAGTGAAATTGAAAGAAGTCATCAGTGAAATGCCAGCAGGGCTCATGACGAAAATCTCTGAAAATGGAATAAACTTCTCAATTGGTGAACGTCAACTGGTGTGTTTGGCTCGGGCGCTTTTAAGAGAAAATAAAATTCTGGTGATGGATGAAGCGACAGCAAATGTCGACCCACAAACCGATGCATTGATTCAAGAAACGATTCGACAGAAGTTTGCTGAAAATTGTGGAGTGCACTTGAGGAAGTGAAATTGAAAGAAGTCATCAGTGAAATGCCAGCTGGTCTCATGACGAAAATCTCTGAAAATGGAACAAATTTCTCAATTGGTGAACGTCAACTTGTGTGCTTGGCTCGAGCGATTATAAGAGAAAATAAAATTCTGGTGATGGATGAAGCGACAGCAAATGTCGACCCACAAACCGATGCATTGATTCAAGAAACGATTCGACAGAAGTTTGCTGAGTGCACAGTTTTGACGATCGCCCATCGACTTAACACTGTCATGGACTCAGATCGGATTCTCGTGATGGATGCTGGTCAAGTTGTTGAATTTGCGTCACCACATGAACTTCTATCGAAAACAAATAAGTCACGAATTTTCTACAACATGTTAAAGGAAACAGGCAAATCAACTTTTGAAAGTTTAAGGAAACTTGCTGAAGAGGTGAATTAAAAACTTCTCAATTTATAATCAAAATATTTAATAAATTTACTTAATCATTTCACAGAACTATCTGAAGAGAAAAAAGGAATGAAATCAACTGTCGTCACTGCAAAGCATATTTTATTACGTTTAAATTAAGTTCTGGCATAAACGCTTGAATTGCACTGTGTATGAATAATTTGGATGATTTATTTGATACTTGAAGAATCTGTGAACAAATTTGAATTAAATAAAAAGTAATAAGAAACAACCAGAAAGAAAGATCACTTTTCGTAGCTTAACTTTCAAGTATCATGCAAATAAAATAACAAATTCAAACCCCTATGCAGGGTGCACAGACAAACACTCTTGATGACAACTGGTTCCACTAAATCGAATCCAACAGATTCTATCATCGCGGCTTTAAAAATTAAAATTTTTAATCCAAAAAACAACAAATTCTTTGATAATTTCTAATTTATTTAACTCTTATTTTTTCAATCCATTTTTCAACTCTTTTTTGTTTTAATTCATTAATATTTGTTCATTCTACTCTCTAATCAATTATTTAAAATAAATATAGGTAGTTGAAGAACATTTCACAAAGAAGAGAAAGAAAGTTATTTACATTAAACGCGCGCTAATTATGTAATTACCTAATTTACAGAATATTCGCGCTTAGTTTCAACTTCTGACTACACACGAAGAGAAAAGACAAATCATTTCTTTATTTTTTTCTTATTTCACTCAAAATTGTTCAACTTTCATCCCATTGCCGATACACAATCAATGAGGGAGAATACTATGCGTCATGATAGGATAAGAAATGATTGGTTGTGTAGCATTAGAAATAGCCGCTTGAAGTGCTTGCGATGTGTTAATTGAGAGGCCAATTGAAGGCGTCGATATTGATGGTGCAAGTGCAGCAGGTGCCAACGTTATTTGTGATGTTCCAAGAATTTGTTGTGTCGGCTGTGAGGTGTTGGCTGCTAATGCAATTGGACCTCCACTCATATTCTGTGGTGTTGCAATAAGTTGTGTTTGTGGCGTTGCCATTGACACAATGGGAGTTGCAACTTGAATAGGCGCCATCGATGCATTTATAACTTGAGGTCCTTGGTTTTGTTGGTGAGATTGTGTGTTCGTTACCGTCACGGGATTTACGACTCTTGATACTTGAACTGTCGATATTCGAAGTTGAGCATTTTGTGTCATAAGATATTCGTTCGATGCTCGAAGTTCAGCAATTTTCAATTCATTTGCTTCCACGCGACGTTTCAACATTTGATGTTCTTCTTCAAAACGTCTGAGAATTGTCATGATGTCATCTTCACGACATCTTTTGAACGTTTGCTGCATACAATCACGATCCTGATTACGCTTCAAATTGGTTCTGAACACACTGTTAGCATTAGAGAATCTTCCATCGTTATGACAATGCATGCTACACGAATCCATTCGTTGTTGTTGACACGAATGAAATAAATCACCATCGAGAAGTGATGGCAATGATCGATTGGAATTTGATGAATTTGAACCATTAAAGAAATTTTTAAAACTATTATCATTTTGATATTCAAGCTGCTGCTGAATATTTCCACCATTATTCTGATTACTTCCATTAAAGTCTTCTTGTTGTTGGCCAATTGGAAACTCACCGTATTTACGGTAATGGTCCTCTTCCTCAATCGTATAATGAAGAAATCTTTCGAAGGAAAAGAAGAAATTTATTATCTTAATCATTTTAAGTATTTGATTAATGACACTCACTTGCAATTAATTCGTGGACATTTATTATTTTGAAAATCATGACAAAACACGACCAATTCTGATGATTGTACATGAGGATACTGAAAAGAATTTAGTTAAAGCATTTGTTGAGTAAAATTTTTAATTAAAATTCTCACTTTGCAATACAATCGACGACATGTTCCCCGAACGAAGTCTCGACAAATTCTGCTTTTATTGTTTTGCTGTTCATTCATATTTCCACATTTGTTGTTGTTGTTGCCGTTAAATTGCGCATTTCCTTGCATGGAAGAGTTGCCACCCGAACAGTTTCCAGATGAAAGTGGCTGTGAAAGATTGTAGGAGGTCATTGGTGATTCTGGTCGTGTTGAGATATGTTGACCATCCATTGTTGATGACGACACTTGTTCTTGTTCACAGAATCCACCAAATGATGTTGTTTTCTGTTTATCCAACTTCAGCTCGTTCTCCATACAATTTTCAATGACTGATGTTGCGAAAGTTCTGCGATGAAAAATGAGAAAATTGTGTTTGAGCCACAGGTGGGAATAAATTCTTAAGTAGATGAGGAATGGTATAAATAGGCCATGCAAGTCAACAATAAATGGCTTGTTTGAAAAGAATTTCGCTTAAATCATGTTTCACTCACTCGTCACTTTTGTGATTTGTGGAATGGTTTGCGTTCTTGTTCATGGCCAACTTTCAGGGGATGAAAATTGTGAAACGTTGCCATTTCAATTGCATTTAATAAAAGGTTTATCACAAGATTAAATTACATTTGAATTACTTTAATTAATTTTATTTTTCACAGAGGAATATGACGAACTTGGACGTCTTCAAAGAACTTGTGATGGAGAAGTAACTGTCAACAAATGCGAAGGTTTTTGCAACAGCCAAGTTCAACCTTCGGTTATCACACCAACTGGTTTTCTCAAGGAATGCTACTGTTGTCGGGAATCATATTTAAAGGATCGTTTGGTTACATTAAATCATTGTTACGATCCCGATGGAATTCGTTTGACATCAAATGGCATGTCGTCAATGGATTTACGATTACGGGAACCAAGTGAATGCAAATGCTTCAAATGTGGTGATTTTTCACGTTAAACGGACGTGCATCTCCTTCTTCATCTCTTTCTCTCTCACTTTCATTCATTTTATTTGGTTTATTTAATGGAAACGAATTTGTTAAAAAGAAATGCGAGTAAAAATAAATTTTAAGATGAAAATCTTGATGAAATATCGATGAATATGAAAATTTTCTTTTCTTATTTTCTGTTTTCATCATCATTATTTTCAACGTACTCAAAAGTGAGAAGAAATTTTTTTTTTTCACATCATCATCATCACATTTTCCTTCGAGGTCATTAAGCAGTTTGTAATCACATATTGGACATGTTTCTGAGATTGAATTATAGAAATAAATATTTTTTTGTGGGAAAAAAACTAAAATTGTTCTAAATCTGCCGAGTTTTCTCTTACAGACTTTTTACGTTTCCTTTACTTATTAGAAAGAGCGATTTTAGTTCACGACAAGTTCAACGACCACAGATTCCGCCACCGTATTTTTTCTCTCTTCTTTTCCTTCAAACATTAAAGTGTTGGCGGCAATAAATCAAAGCTACTTATGACGATCAGCTGGTGGTAATGGAGGAATTATGTATCTTTACTCTTTGCATAAAAGGACGCAAAGCATCAAAGGGTGAATTAATTATTCGACACATTAAGACTTATGTAATGTGAAAGGAGTTCGACATGTGTATAAATATGAACTTCTGATTCTAGTTTCACTTCAATCAATCCCGTTAATTCTTTTGCAGAAGACTCTCCTTTTAATATCATGAGAGCCTTAATAATATTCTTTTTCGCTTACGGATGCTCATCTTATCAAATAAAAAGTGTTGCAAGCGCAAGTGATGAATGTTCTCTTACACCCGTAATTCATGTTCTGCAATATCCTGGATGCGTACCGAAACCAATTCCATCGTTTGCTTGTATTGGAAAGTGCGGAAGTTATGTTCAGGTATGAGAAAAATACAAAACAATGTTTGTCAATTCTTTTGACACCATAACGCAACGAAATGGAATTTTAATTATGGAAGTTGAGAAATAATTTATAGACTTATAAAACTAATGCAAAATTTATTCAAAGGTTTCAGGCAGTAAAATATGGCAAATGGAGCGATCATGTAATTGTTGTCAAGAGTCGGGAGAGAGAGAAGCTTCTGTTTCATTATTCTGCCCAAAAGCAAAACAAGGCGAAAGAAAATTTAGAAAGGTCAGTGCTGGTTTTTTTTCCTTTCTGGAGAATTTCACACAAAAATTTTCCACTTACCTTTGTCAGCTTTAAAGTTATCAAAACACTAATTTAATATCCCTAACAAGAAGCTTCTAATGCAACGACTAATAATTAGAAAATGGATAATATGAAGCTACAAACTTATTTTTAAATACGACAAGTTTTCTGTAATTAAGAGCAACAACAAAAAATTATTTTGTGTGTTCAGAAATTTTTTTGTTTATGTCAATGATGGTTCTGAAAATTTAAAATTATTTTAACCGTTAAATTTTTTAGGTTTCAACTAAAGCTCCTCTAGGTATGTAAATTGCAATGTTTTTCTTAAACTTAATCTAATATGTGTATGAATATTACAACATGATTAAATTGAATAAGTTCAATATTATACGAATTGAGTATCATTTTAGGTTGCATGTGTCGTCCTTGTAGCGTTGTCGAAGAGAATACAATCATTCCACAAGAGTTGGCAGCATATGATGATGGGCCAGCTGGTTTAATAAGAAAAGCACAATTCCAATAATATGTTAATTCATTATAACATTTTAATTTATAAATGGGTTCAAATGTTCAAATAAAATAAAAGGCGTTCAAAGTTTCTGAGAAAGTAGTTTTCCATTGGTTCTGTTTTGCGAACTTTACTTTAAGGTGGTGCTGAAGTTAACTCAGAAAAAATAAAAAAAAACGCAACAAAAATTGTCTTGAGTTTAAAAGACAATTTTAAATTATCAGCGTCGCGGTATATAAAATCGTGTTAGTAGACGGTGAAGACAACATAGAAAGGAACTGCTAGAGTTCCACTGATAAAGTGAAGAAAAATCTCATTTATTGTTTTATCCATTTTTTTGGAAAATTCCACAAGTAGAAAGAAAAAAAATTACAAGTTTGGAAAAATGACTAATAAAATTGAAATAGAATTCGCTCAACAATCCAACTATGAGGGCTCCAAAATGTTTTCATCATTAGCTGATGTCTTAGGCTTATCAGTCGATTTGGTAAGTTTATAAATTCACGTAGAGCGGCATGTATCATGCGATGTTGAAGTCACTTCTTGCAAGATGATTTCATCACACCCATCCAAAAAAAGTGTCTCAGCCATATTGTGAATGAAAAGAAGAAAAAAGAAAACCCCACTGACGTTTTTGGGTGGAAAACAAAATTTACCGAATTGCATCAAGAAGATAATAAACAAAAAAAGAAAGAGAAGAAAAAAAGTGAAGATTGAGAGATGATGCAAATGTGCAGCTGTTTGTGAACAACTTTTTTGTGCGTCTTTGCTTTCATTGTCAAAGTGCAATGAGTTTAATTCTGTTGAGTCAGCGGAAAAGTCAAATCACGAAACAATAAAGTGAAAATCAAGCTCTTAAACACGTAATTTCCTTTAACGAACATTTAAAGACTTTTACGCGTAATTGAAGACAGGAAAATAACAACTTGTCACAAAAAAATATCCAATAATCTTTTTTCAAACTTTTCTTATACTAAAAGCATTTAAGAATGCCACATGCCACCCATTTTAACCCCCCCAACAAATAAAAACGTTCCATAAATTTATTTCCAATAATCACGAAGTAGCTGAAAACTCGTAAGTCGCAACCAAAGTTATGATTCATCGGCTTTTGTGCTATTTTATATAAGATACTAAATATGTTCTGGTAAATTGCGACAAAATCAGTTAGATGCTCATTGCTAATAATTGGTGAATTGTTTGTGTCTACACATTGCTCATGAAGCTTCATTCAGATAGCCTCTTATGTCAATAATTATCTGTTCGTGTTAGTTCATATAGAGTTCTATAATATTATTGAAGTGTCTAACTGTTCGTATTACAGTTCTTGTTTTGATTGTAAATTAAGTTATTTTTGGGGAAAAATTCTTTCTGCTTATCCAACGTGATGTGAATAAATTATTGATGTTGTTAAAATATGTGCGAGTGTTGTTTTCATCATACTGTCAATATATAACATTATTTGACGTTAGGTGTTGAACCAAACAAAAATATATCTCTTTTAATATTTAAGAGCGTGCACAAATACGATATCAAAACGGTTACGGACAGGAAAAGTTTCGCTCAAATATATTGCCGTTAAAATGACAACACAAAAAAACAGAATAACGAGATAAATAAATAGATGAAGCGAAGTTCGTATGAGTCTTAATTGCTTTAAAAATAGAAGCTACCTACCTAAATATTTTCCTTCAAAGAATTTCAACAAAGGGAAACCATTTTCAAGGCAAACATGTTAACAATGTAACGAGACAACAAATGACCGCGAATATATGCTTCATAAGTAGAAAAAAGGGAGATAGAGAGTATAGTGTTTAATAAACAATTATGCAACTTGTTGCTGTTACACATTTTAAGAGTTATAAGTGTTTTGAATGTTTGATTGTGTGAAGGGAGAAGAAACTTGACACATTTACTTTCATCCTCATAGTTTCATTTATAAAAGTGAAAACATTTTAGAGTGGAAATTTTTTCGTCGCTTATATGTGATGAATTCAGTGCTGTTTGTAAATTTTGGATGATGTTCAAGCAACCTGACAAATGCATTAGGTAGCTGTAAACACAGTCAGACATCAATCACGTTGAATGTATGAGAGAGTTGACGTTTTTATACATAAACAGCTGATTATCGCGCGACTCGTACCAAAGTGCAAACAAACGCGTTCTTCTCTTTTTATTCAAAAATCTTCTTTATATTTGTTCATTGCGATGTGACTTCCCGCATGACTGGCTTTAAATCTCTTCATCCGTTTGATCTATGGCAATCATTTTATAATATCAAACGAGTAATGAAAATTTCGTGGGATCGTTGATGAATTATCGAAACTTCAGATGTTTATGACCTTCTAAAAATAGAAATGTTTTTATTGATTTGCTTCGTTTAATTTTTATCAGGGAAATTTTAACGACGGTGTTATTTGCGTAAAAACTTTGTTTCCAGTTGAAGTTTTTATTTGTTTACTTTAAAAGATAAGATATAAAGAAAAAAATTATTAATTTGGTGACTATGAACTCTTTCTTTTCAAGTAGAGCGTTCAATGTCAAAATAATTGAAAGCAGTGATGAATCAAAATTTATAGTTGATTATTTGTTGGAAATCTGTCATCGCGACATTTGTACAGTTTTGTATGGTGTTGACTTGGTTCTATGGTGTAATGGTTAGCACTCTGGACTTTGAATCCAGCGATCCGAGTTCAAATCTCGGTAGAACCTTCTATTTTTTTATTTTTAATTTAATTTTTTTTTTATTTTCTATTTTCAGACAAACTTCTTGATTACTCAAGGACTCGCTCTGATATTGGCTTCGTTGTTTCGTTCTTACTTGCACCCATCAAAAGTGTCAGCAAGTGTTCGTCATGCATTTGGACTTGTCATTGGATTGTTTTTCGGATATTTCTGTTTTGGGCAGCAAGCTATTCATATTGCAGGACTTCCAGCTGCATGTTATATCGTTATTCGCACTCAAAATCCTCAAATTGTTCAACGGTAATGATTAAATTTCAGTTTTAATGTCTGGCGATATTAAAAGTAATTTATTTACAGAATCGTGATGGTCGTTTCATTGACATACCTCTCCTGCATTCATCTTCACCGTCAATATAACGATTACGGCTCATATACAGTCGACATTACCGGACCTCTGATGATCATCACACAGAAAGTCGTAAGTTTGGCTTTCAGCATTCATGATGGTTTTGTACGTGGAAAGAAGGTAAAGAAAAACTTTTCTTTTCTAGATTTAATGATTAATTAATCTTATTCTTGTTTTAGGAATTGACAAAAAGTCAACAATACCACATGGTCGAAAAGGTTCCATCACCTTTGGAATATTTTTCTTATGCATTAAACTTCCAAAGTCTAATGGCCGGTCCCTTGATCTTCTACCGCGACTATATTGAATTTGTTGAAGGTTGCAATATTATCAAAAGAACAAACACAAATGTAAGTTTGATTGGAAATTTTAATTAAATTTTTAAATTTAGAATGAAATAAAATTTTAGGGAATGATCGATGAAACCAACAAGAAGATTATCCAAGAACCGTCGCCAGTGAAAGCTGTTGTAAAAAAAGTATTTGCTTGTGCAGCATGCGCTTACATCTTTGTCAAGTTTATTAATCTATATCCTATCAAAAATATAAAAGGTGAATTAAATTGATTGAGTATTCATAAAATTCGATGACTAAATATTTATGTTATTTAAGACGACGACTTTATCGAAGGCAACAACATATTCTACAACTTTTGGTACTTGATGATGTGCACTACAACTGTTCGCTTCAAGTATTATTTTGCTTGGCTGCTTGCCGATGCCATTTGCAATAATGCTGGCTTAGGATTTAATGGATTCGAAAGCGATGGCACACCAAAGTGGGACTTATTTACAAATATTTATGTGATACCTTTTGAAGTGAGTATGATTAAAAAATATAATTTTAAATTAAAAAATAAAAAAATATGAAGGTTCTACCGAGATTTGAACTCGGATCGCTGGATTCAAAGTCCAGAGTGCTAACCATTACACCATAGAACCGTACAAATGCTTCTCCTATGAAGAGACGCATGAAACATTTGGCTACTGCCAAACATTGCGTTGATGAATCAGTTGCGGCTAAAGTACATATTGGTCTTACCATGTCAAAGTGATTCAAATTGTAAAATGAAACAATTATAAAACGTTCTTTGAAACATTGATAACATTTTTATCTTAAAACTTTTAGAAAACATCAAAATAATATTTAATTCAATAATTTCCGAATATTTACTTTAAAATTGAATGAGTTGGAATTATTTTTTAATTTTAAAAATATTTTAATTGTTGTGCTTAGAATCTCGTTTAGAATGTTCGTAGAACATAGTTGAAGGAAGTATTTTCTATAACTTTCATTTGCCAGTAATCTGTAAAGTTATTGAAACAGGTTTTTATGAACAGTTGTAGATAAACCTTTCACCTTCTACATTGTAAATTCAAAATAATATTTTCGACTTCAGGAAAGCTTAAAAACGCGAATTTAAGAAATCGGTCAGAGAAGCTGTGTGATCTGTTTTTTGCGCAGCCGACTTTCATATCAAAATCTGTTGAAAACGTAAGGTTTTCACATATGAAAGCGGTTCTATGGTGTAATGGTTAGCACTCTGGACTTTGAATCCAGCGATCCGAGTTCAAATCTCGGTAGAACCTTCAACATTTTTTTTAATTATTTTATATTTTTATCATTTCTGTTTATCTTGTCATTTCAGTTGGGAACAAGTTTTCGTGACTGTATCAACAATTGGAATATTGGAACAAATCTTTGGTTACGTATGGTTGTTTATGAACGCGTACCTAAGAAATATGGAACAATTTTGACATTTGCTTTAAGTGCATTGTGGCACGGATTTTATCCCGGATATTACTTGACGTTTTCGACAGGAGCTCTTATAGTAGTAGCAGCTAGAAAGGTGAATAAATATTTTATTATTAAATATGTCAGATCATCAATATTTAATATAAAAATCATAATTTCAGTCACGTCGAATGTTCCGTCATCACTTCCAACAAACTGAAATGAGTCGAACATTCTATGACGTTTTGACTTGTATTGTAACTCGTATTTTTATGGCCTACACGACATTCCCTTTTGTGTTACTCGAGCTTGGGGTGAGTTGAATTTATTGAATGATTGAACACATTTTAATATTTCCCTTCATTAGGCTAGTCTTCGTTTGTACCTGAAACTTTTCATGTGCCTTCATTTAATCGCTCTGTTGTCCGTATTCGTTTTCCCTAAACTTATGCGAAATATTAGCAGTAGCGATAAACGTTCATCCACCGTTACACAAACGACCAAAGTTACCGATGATTCTCTTGGAAAGTCATCACATGATGATGCTGAACCATCAAAAAACGATGAGCTTTTAAAAGATGACCGAAAAATCGTTGTTGCTGAAGATAATAAGCAGCTTTCCGATATCGATGAGTCGAGTAATTCTAGCAGTTCATGCAGTAGCTTTAGTAACAGTATGAATGATATCAGTGATAAAAATCACCAACGTAAAACCGATACAAATTACCTTCTCAAAGATCTCATCAATAAAGAAGTGAACAAAATAAAAGGCGAAACTGATAATTTATCGAATTTGCTGAAGGAAAAGATTGAAGCAGCAAACATTGAAGGATTAATCGACAAGACTGTGAATGGCATTGTCGAGTTGAAAGATGATTTGATGAGAATGAATGAACCTGAAGTTTATAGTGGAGGCGCAACTGATGGACTAAGAAAGAGAAACTTAACGGCAAGTGACTTGGAAGTCAATGGAGCTGGAAAAGTACCTGACGGTGTCGATGCATTTCTGAAGAAAGAAATCGATGCAATAAAAGAAGCGAATGTCATTCCAGCTGTTCTTAGCAATGGACATGCCAAATAAAAGCCGCTTTGTAACACAAGAGATATTGCATTTGCAGTGGTTAAAATGATATTGCACACAAAGCTTGAAACTTATTTTTTTACTTTCCCTTCTTTCTTAAAAGTTTTTCTAAAAATATTCAGAAAACGATTTAAACTTTTCAATTTTTTTTTAAAACTAAACAATCCTTAAACTTATTTTCTTATTTACAGTGATGCAAAAAAAAGGAGAAAGTTTTTATTTTTAATGCATGTAAAAACAGTGATAAAAGAATTATGAACTTGCAAACAAACTCAAACGAGAAGAGGAGAAAATCTTTGAAACTAAATGATATTTAGATAAACCAGAAAACAAAATTGATATCAAAGCTTAATAAATCATTCATCACAATTAGCAATTGGCTTCCTGCATAGACATTTTATGCAAAATTAAATCGAAATGAAAATTGTGCTCCAACATCCAAAATATTTTCATTTATTCGACTTTTATCTTCATTATTTGAGCTTCCAAAATCATGTGAAGAAAACATTTATTTATATTGAAAGTTCTGTTAAATTGTAGCAAGAATTTTATAAAAAAAGACGAAGAACAAATTCACAATGTGTAAGCTTCCGTAACAAAAATGTCAAAATGAACACAAATTAAAATTGTAAAATGTAAATCACAACCAATAGGTATAAAAATGTTAACTGAAGGATTCCCGTTCTCTTCCCAGATTTTTATAAAAGTGCGCTTTTCAAATGAATATTTTTGTTGAATGTTCAATAAGTCGTCCAATCTTGAATACTTGACTTTATTTTTTTTACTTTAAAGCTCTAGTCGATGGTGAAAATTTTTTTACTTTCCCTTTTATTAAAAGTTAATTTTTTTAACTCCACAAAGCTAAACCATCCTCTTCCATCCATCACTATTTAATTATGATAAAAATAGTTATTAAAGTAAATAAAATAATATGTATCGGACCCAATTGGCAACCTAATCATTAAACCCAAATTTTACATATCCTCTGAAAAAAATGAACAGAAAACGTTTAAATATTACTTCTGAAACAACCAAATGTTTTTTTTCCACAATTCTATTGTAAGAAGAAGAGCAAGAAGCTGAAATGAAATATTTAAAGAAGAAAACGAAAATTAAATTTTTATTAAAAATAAATTGAAGTTATAATTTAAATTGTTGATTTCATTTGCTTTTGTGTATTTTTAAAATTCCAGCCGACCAGCAGACTCGTAATAACCATCGTCAGATTTTCCTAGTAACTTGCTAATATGAATTTGTTTTATTTCATGTGTTCCGAAATGAAAGTCTTTGTACTTTTCAATTATTTCTGTTGCATTAAAAGCCCTTTTTCTTTTAGCTTTCGATGTATTGATGAGTGTGACATGAAGCTTAACTTGAGGGCGGTCAAGTTTTATAAATCCACGTTCAGAGAAAAATTGCGCAATTTCATTAGCGATTTGTTGGAGTTTTTCATTTTCAACTACACCAAAGAGAATTCGTGTTGATGATGGTTTGTTATTCATAATATTGACACCTGATAATGTAACTGACAATGTCTCTTCATTAAGGATTGGATCGATAATCTTTTCCTTACATTCAATCAGACATTTGTTGGCATCCTCGACTTTTTCTTCGTTTTCTAATGTCAACATAACAAGCGTCAGATGAAGTTTTTCCGGCTTGTAAAAAAATGACGCATCTAGTTTATGAATTGCACAATCAGTTTCAAGAATTTCATCCTTAAATTTTATGTGATTATTTTTGATTTCTTCATTATTGAAAGGAATTGAAAGAAAATGTGTAAGTTGTGGCTTTTGACTTTTGCTACCAGTCTTTCTAATTTCTTTTTCGGCTAATGTTATATCAGTTTCTGCATTTCCTTTGATTGTAACTGAACAACTTTCTACCTTTATATTAACATTTCTTTTCTGTTCGATGCGTTTTCTTATAAGTTTTCCTTTTGAATTAGTTAGTTTAGAGATGACTTCTTCATTACATAAGAATTTTAATTCAAACCTCCAATCTGTGTCTTCTCCGTTATCAACAATCTCCAGAGTTGATTCTTCAATAAAAACTTCAACACCATTTTCGTCCTCTTCCATTAATGGAAACGTTTAATTTAAGATTGAAAAGTAGAAAATCAAAATTTCTTTTTTGATTGTTGATGAGGGTCACTTCAATTTGTAAACAAAGTGATGACATGCCCCAAAAGCTCCTCAGAGTCCGGGCTAATCCGAGTAATTTGCGACTTGCGTGGATTTGACCTTGACCAGTTTCCATACAAAGTGCCGAATTTCATATGTCCGTGTGTGAAAATTGTCCACACTCTCCACCTGAAACTGACTTAGGGGAAAACGAGTTTTAGGTGGAGACTGTGTTAATTTCTTGGTAGTGGCGGGTTTGAAATGAACTTCATATGTGTCGACTTTATTGAGAGTAACATCGAGCACAAAGCTCGCGTTTGTCATTTTTATTCGATTTTAAGTTTAAAGTCGTTCACAGTTAACACCTTAATGCATTAAGGGTATCCAATACAAAATGTTAATCATAGAATAATTCCTTAATTAAGCACTTTTTGGATAGAATATCTTATACAAACTTATTCAATTATGAATCCTCTGTCGATCTTCTCAAGATAATCTATCAATAAGGTTGGTCGTTTACGAGATATTCGTAGAATGAGATATTATGGTCAAGAGATATTACCGCTAACTTCATGCAGCTCAAATGTAGTACTTTGGTACCCTGGCAGCACTTATGTGTGTTGCTCGAGACGTGATTACATGTATAAACTAATGTTAGTGACTGTTATTCTATTTATATCGCTCGCGATTATCACACGACATCGAACTTTAAAGGGATCCAAAACTTTTTAAAAAAGTCCTTTAGTGGCATTTGATGCCTAATAAATTAAATTTAAAGAAGTGTATAGTGAAAATATATATTTGAAATAAAATTATTACGTGATCCGCAATTAAATTTCGTGAGATTTATAAAAAAAATTAAAATAAAAAAAAGAAAGAAAGAAAAGATTATGTCCTACAAGCTTTCTTGTTTATCCATCATCTAAATTCAGCTTTCACAATTATTATCTATCATCACAACGGTTTCCAGTTGCTAATCAGTTATTTACTTCGATTATCTTTCAAAACACAAATTTGGTAAATAGATAATCAAAATTTAAAGAACAGCCTTGAAAACTATTTGCAATTTTTTATTGGAGCGAATGAAAAAAAAATATAATTTTCTTTACTGCCATATGTTTTTCTCGCAAAATTACTGTGACATTATTTTCTCTGAATTAAAACGAAAATAAGACATTTTTAGGAAAATTTAAGATGAAAATTTAAAAGTTCCTTCCTTTAAACTTTTGCCCTCTTAATCAATTCTGAAAAAAGATAATAAGAAAAGAGCTTTCATTGTGCTATTTAAATTATCAAATTATCTCATGAAATTCTAGAAAATAACATTGAATCTATTTAGAATTTTGAATATTTAATCATTTACACACGTTCATAATTATAATAATTTTATTACCGAGTAAATTTACAAAACAATTTTTTATCGTCAAAACTTTTGCGTCAAATTTTGATGAGTTGAGTAATGAAATTCAAAATAAATTCTGTTTACTGTCTAGTGGCAAAAAATTAGGATTCATTTAAAAGAAGAACATAAATATCAGTAAATCTACACGCCACGCAACTGTTTTAATCACTCTCAGAGCGAGAAAAATAGCGAAACGTCTTAAAAAGCATCTCAACGTTTCAGTCAACTTCGCCTCTGACAAAAATATTTTCACCAGCTATATTCACTTAATAAACACAAAGATTTTAAAAATGATTTCCATTTCGTGCTAATCATTTCTTCTTTTTGTCTCATTAACAGATTGCACGAGTGAAACAAGACAAAAAAAAAGAGTTTCATCAAAACGACGTCATAAACAAAATATGAAGCAGTTTTGTGGATGGAATTGATTTAAATTTAAAACAACAAAAACAAAAACCGAGTGAAAATAAATTAAACAAAAGGAGAATCGCGCAACGATCAATTAAAAATTAATTAAAAGTGTCACAAGTGTAAAAAATTATCAAATTATGCCAATCGCTCTGGTTCGTTCCATTTCCTTACCCAACTTAAAAGTCTATACTGCCTTCAGTTTACTGTTGTTATCGTGTTGTTTGTACTATGCATTCGACGTCGTGAGAACAGATCCTCATTGGGAGCTTCATCATAACACTTCACATCATGTTTCATCACGTTCAACGTCCCTTCTAAAATCATCTAACGATGCACTTGACGTTCTAACGAACAGCAATTTACTCTCAGAACTGAGTTCAGAAGATAAAGATGAGTCTGAAGATGGAAAACATCCTGAAGTCTTACATAAAGCTGGCCAAGTCAACAAAACCTCCAGCAACTCACTTTCTGATCAACTTAAAGATGTTGTTAGCTTTATGACACATGAGCCAATTTGTATTTGGGTAAGTCATCATATTTAAGCTCTTAAAGATTGTCATGGTTTGTTGCGAGTGTTATCAACTGGTGTTCCGTTTTAATACAAAAGAATTGATAAGATAACAAGCTTTAATTGTAGTAATAGCGCAAATATTCTAAATATTTCCTCTCTTTACATTTGTATTGTCTGTTGCGAAAGCAAAACATTTTACGACGATAGTTTTTCATTTCAAGTGGACAAAGAAAATCAGTAATGAACTTGAAAAGAAAAAAAGACACGTGAATGACATCTTTTGAATGTCACCTGATGATTGTTGTTGACGTCATGAATTTTATATTGAAAGAAAAAAGAACAAGAAGAGTGACTTTATTTAATAAATAAACATTTATGATTTATTATGGATGTACATAAATTTTCATTGTAATCATCGTCATTTAAACGCGGGTAAACCGAAAATTTCTGGTTGGAATAATTCGAGAGAATTGATAGCAAGAGTTGCCTTTGACTTCAATTCTTCTGATATGTAATCGGCTGGAACCATGACAACTTGCATGTTTGCTGAAACAGCACCTTGAACGCCATTTGGAGAATCTTCAAGAACGAGACACTGGAAATTATCAAATTTATGATTATTTCTTTCTCCAAGAAGATTTCAAATTTATTTCTTACTTCAATGGGATTGAATTTTGAGTCAAATCTACTGGCAGCTAAAAGGAAAATATCCGGTGCAGGTTTTCCTTCTTTAAGTTCTGGATCTGAACCTTTAGTAATGTGATGGAATAGTTGAAAGATTTCAAGATGATTCTTTGTCTTTATAGTGACACTTGTATCGCCACTCGACGTCGCAACACAAATCGGAATATTGTTGGCATGCAAATGTTGTATCAATGCTTTCGCTCCTGGCATAAATTCAACATTTGCAAGACGCTGATGTGAAAGTTTTTGAAAATCTTGAATAAATTGATCTAAAGTGACATTCAACTTGAGATCATTCACGCAAACCTCACAAGATCGCTTCTCTGTTGATCCGAGAAGCTTAACACGAACTTCCGATGTCAACTTTTTTCCATACTTCTCACAAACCTCTTCAAAAACTTTCTCATAAATTGGTTCTGTGTCTGAAAATGTTACGTAATGGAATTAAAAATTCTTTAGGGAATATAAACTTGACAGTCACGTAATATTTACTCAACAATAGGCCGTCCATGTCGAATAAAACAGCTTTTACAGGTTTAAAAGTTTTTGACATATTTTTAATTCTATTTTTGTTATCTTAAATAGATAACGATTTTGATTAGTTTGTTCTGTTTTGAATATCTAAACAAACAATGTCTTTGCTTTGATGAACTGCGCACGACTACAATTGTTTGTATAGGAAAAAAACGATACCGACTGTAATATCGAAAGTTATAAATGAAATTGTTGCGAAATAAACTTTCGTCATCATCAGTGTGATAATTATGAGTCATAAGCAGGGATGTTGATCTGATGCAACAATCATTTTGTCTTTCTGAATATTCATTGAATTTTAAATGCCATTTCAATGGAATAACTGAAGAATTTGGAGATTTCCGAAAATAAAATCTGAAAGATTAATCGTTAATCGGAATGAATGTCAACAGCAATATTTACTCTTGTTTGAATTCGATTTAGAACATGCAAAAAAATGATACAGTTAATGGTCATGAAACTAATCAATTAACTTAATTGTAACTGCCTATCGACGTCAACATTTATTCACTCATAAATTGTACTATCGATTGTGAATCTAACAATATTGCAATCTTTTACAGACACTCATCAACATGGCGTATTGTTGTCTAATATTGTTGGGTAAATTCATTCAAAAAATCGTTTTTGGAGAACTAAGAATATCTGAACAACAGGTGAGTGAGTCATCACTAACAACTAACAATGATTTTCATATTTTTCTTATTCAATTTTTTTTCTTATAGCACATGAAAGATAAATTCTGGAATTTTATTTTCTACAAGTTCATCTTTATTTTCGGCATTGTCAACGTTCAATACATGCACGAGATTGTGATTTGGGTCTCATGGTTTTCAGCCTTAGGGTTTTTGCACTTGATGTCGCAACTGTGCAAGGATAGATTTGAATATGTAAGTTTAATTATGTAAATTTTTTGCTGAATCATGAGAACGAATATTTATTTAGTTATTCAAAAGAAAACTTGATATTTTCTCAGATTAGATTTTTTTCACGTTACAGTGATTTCTCTTCAAAAATAAAAAACTAAAACGATTCAAACCAGTTGCAAATAGATCAGGAGAATCTTTCTCTTGTTAATTAAGAAACGAGATTTAACTTTGACATTTTTCACTTTATTTTTAGCTCTCGTCTTCTCCAACGACGCCAGGATGGTCACATTTCCGTCTTATCACATTACTGTCAGCAATCTTCACAATTGCAAGTGTGATGACGATTTTTGCAATTATTTTTGGACTTTTTCATGGCATCAACATGTTTGCTTTCATGGGTGCTGAGGTGCGAGAAGAATTTCTACAATATTATCATAAATTTATATTATCATATTCTTCATTTTATTTCAGTGTATTATTCTAGCGATTCGAACACTTCACATTCTTATTCGTTACGGAATGTTCTTATACGACATGCGACAAGGTGCCATCAATAGTGACAGTAAATTCAAACTTTCTCTCAATAATTAATTAAATTTTAAATTGATTTTCTCCTATTTCATTTTCACAGCAATTTCATGGGATAAACGTGGGCCAGTTGCATATTATATCGAATTTGGTTTTGATTTGGCAGCACTTCTTGTCGATCTTTCACATCATCTTCATATGCTTTTATGGTCAAATATCTTCTTATCGATGGCAAGTTTGGTGATAATCATGCAATTGCGACATCTTACGAATGAAATTCAGAGAAAATTCAAAAAACATCGAAATTATTTATGGGTTTTGGATCATATGGAGAAGAATTATCCTTTGGCAACACAAGAAGATCTCAAGCATAACTCTGACAACTGCGCCATCTGTTGGGAGAAAATGGAAACAGCCAGAAAACTTCCATGCGCTCATCTCTTCCACAATTCATGTCTCCAATCGTGGCTTGAACAAGACACTTCATGTCCAACATGTCGTTTGGCTTTGAGTGTTCAAAGTAGCACTCGAGTACCAACAATACGTCAGCCAAACATTGATTTCGATGAACTTGAACAACTTACAGGTGCAACACCGAACATTGGATCAGTTGGAGGTGGAAATATTTTGAGTCGAAGTAATCACTTTTTTCATTTTAATGGACAACGCTACATATCTTGGTTGCCGAACATAAGTGTTGAAGTGTCAAACATTAATACAATGCTACGTAATGGACATTTGAGTGCAACAATTATTCAACCACATCAACAGATATCGCAATTACGTAATATGGCAAATCATATTCAAGAGATGTTTCCGAGATATCCACTTGATATTTTGTTAGCTGATCTTCAAGTTACACATTCAATTGAACAAACTATTGATAATATTTTAGAGGGTCGATTACCAGTACCTCGTAATGCGACAAGTGATGTTGATGACGTTCCTTCAACTTCAGCTACGAACCAAAGTTTTCCATCTGCAAGTGATTATTACATTGCTGCTGATGATATATCTGCTAGTTCATCATCATCAACATCATCGTCTTCATCTTCGTCATCATCATCATCGTCATCATCAACTTCAAGTATCACCGATCAGTATGAGATCGAACAACATGGCAGCGAAGTCTTTGGTAATCGAGCTGAATTATTACGAGAAGATAGTCCAGAGAGTCAAGTCGCTACAGACGTTTGGAGTAATAGTAATAATAGTTATACATCAACATCATTTATTCCTGATACGGAATCAATGGAAGATCGTTTTTCAAAGCGACCACAGGAACGAGAGAGACTGTTGCAACGACGTAAAGAACAAATGTTAATTAATGCGCGAAAAAGGTGACATTTCTAACTTTTAAAAAAAGTTTTAAATTCATTGAAGTAATTTCAGGTACCTGGAAAAGACGAAAATGGATTTAAATATTCCATCATCATCGACGTCATCATCATCATTAGATTTGAGATTTAGAGACACAGCAGCATCAAGTCATCGAGATTAAAATCAAATTTAAGATAAATATTTTAAAATGAATGAAAAGAAATATTGAAATATTACAATAACTAACCAGTTGCATACTTTTATCTATTGTTTGAAAAAGGAGAAAATAATGAAATTTGTATTTTTTATTGAAGAAGAAGTCATCCAGACTGCATCAAAATAAGAGACTCGATCAATGATATGTAATCCCTAGGATATGAACGAGTGTTCTTACAATTGTATTTTTCCACACACAAACTCTGAAAAATTGCGCTTTTGAAGAAATTCACATACTTATGTAAATCCTCAAATTATCGCTTGTATGCAATTTAATATCAATTTAAAAGAACATCACCAAAAAAAACGAAATATTAAATAAAATTCTGTTTTAACTCTGTTAATGAAAAGCTTCATTTTCGGTGTCAATTTGAGGTATCATGATATAAAAATATTTAATTTGTTGGTACTTAATTATAACATCTTATTGCTTAATTTTTAAGTATCATTTGATATTTTTTAAATTTTTATTTTATTGTTTTTGTTGCTTTTTTTCGAAATGTGATTTAAATTTAACTCAATTAAAAAAAAAAAAGAAATACAGTATCAAGTTGAAATAGAAAATTGTTGAATTTTACTTTATCAAAGTTTATTTCAATTTGAGAACTGATGTTGCTTCATAAAATCCGTTTGATGCTTGCGAAAATCTTTGACTTAGATGAATTTCTTCGACTTTCAATGAACCGAAATAGTAGTCTTTGTACTTTTTCAAGATTTGTGATGCATCGAAGGTTTTTCTAGTGAATTGATTGTTGTTTTTCTGACCTGCTGAATGATGATCATTATTTTCAACAGCATCGTCATTGTTTGCAAACTTTGAATTGATTAATGTTACATGCATTTTAACGTTATCCTGTTTAAGTTGAATTAAACCCCGATCAGCGAAATAACTTGCAAGTCCATTGGCGATTGCTTGAAGACTATCGTTCGACACTTTTCCATAAAGAACATTTACTGCTGATGGGTCGTCATTCATATAATCTAAACCAGCGAGTTGTACGTTGAGTGTTTGGTTTTGAAGGATTGGATCTACGATGAATTCTCTACAATCTTGAAGAAATTCACTTGCAATTGCACGGTCTTCATTGTCAAGAAGAACTAGCATGACTAAAGTTAGATGCAACTTTTCAGGCTTCTGAAAATATGAAATGTCTAATCCATGAATGTCTGGATCGTTGAGAATTTCTGTTCTGAACTTTTCAAAATTTCCCTTAATTTCTTCTGTTATAAAAGGCACCGAGAGAAAGTGAGTAAATTGTTGTTTAGCACGTCCAGCAATCATGATTTGATCTAGTCGTGCTTTTGCTGAAATTACTTCCTTTCTCGTATTGCCTTTGACGATTACATTTGTGTCTTTAGAGCCAATTTTTGGCACTAGAATGGATGCTCCTGTTTCTTGCTCAAGCCTCCGTTTTGTATTTCCTTTCGTTCCGATAATTTGTGAATGAAACAACTGCGGCACATGAACTTTTAATTGAAACTTTCTGCCATTATCAACAGTTTCGATTTCATAAAAATCTTCTTCTCCAATTTCCATTTCACATTCAAAATCTTCTTCTTCATAATTTATTCTTCTGGTCTCTTGTTGATTGGTACGATTTAAATCAGGAATGTTAACGCGATAGCATCGTTGCCCTATCCACATCAGTTCTGGGTTTAGAACGTCCATTTCTTTTATCTTTGACTATAATTTGTGTTTAACAATTTCTTCTGATAAAATTTTCTGTAACGTAAACAAACGAAAGTTGAAAACCCCTCTGAAAATCTCAAGATTCAGCTTTTATTTGAGCTTTCAACATTAATGTTGGTTTATTTGAAGATCATATAAAACAACGATATTTCTATGATGCATGATAATGAGATGAAATCAAAGAATCAACATGATATTTATTAACAATTATATCATTATTTTTGAATTAGGTGAGTTTCATCATTTTTGTTTTTTGATGAACTGATCAACTAATTTAAAAATATGACGAGAGGGAACTATCATCAGTTTTATTTTCTCAAGAGAAAAATAATTTATTTTCTCGCTAAATCATAATTAAAAAATAGTAGAAATGGATGATGACATTTGTTATCTCTTAGATATTGTGCCTGCTGAAGTTAAGCAGATTATCTTTCAATATCTCGGTGTTGAAGATTTATTGAGCTTGTGCTGCACATGTAAATCTTTGAATGAATTTATTGGAAGTTCACATGATTGCATGAAGAAGATTTGGATCAAATTTTACACATTCAAACTGAAAGATCTTGACAGTTTGAAGTCTAGTGTGAGAATATATGAAAAATTGAAAGTTAATCGTGTGAAATTAAATGAGCACTTTATATATCTTGCTGATCTTCATCAATCTTGGCGTAAAATATTAATTTATAATTGTGAGTTAAAACGAATGGAATTACTGTTGAATTTCATCAAAACATTTTCTGAAACAGTTGAAGAGTTAGAGATCAGTGACATTGAAGTTCTGAACAACGAAATTGATATAAAGACAATAAAGTTTCCTAATTTAAAACGCCTTATGTTCCGAAATGTTCCCTCGACTATAATAGAAGCATTTCTGGATGTAAATAAAAAACTTGAAAATGTGTCATTTGACATTGTTTTAGCGATAGAAGGAAAAATGTCTTTGGAGGAATTAACAGACACATTATTGCATAGATGTCAACATTTGAATCATCTTCAGCTTGGACCACATTACATCAAATGCCTTTTTGATCAGGAAAACTGTAATGTAAATTATCACTTCAAACTCTCAAAGCTTCTACTAAAATTTCCTCTCATTCGTGATCCATCACCAAACATAAGCATGAATGTCAAAATGTTCTTGAAGGATCAACCAAACATCGAGTGGATTTTATTTTTAGAACTCGACGATGACGACATTTTAAATCCAGCATGGAACGAAATTCCTTCGCTGAATCATTTGACGTTTTATGGATTGGAAGAGCTTTTCAAATCAATGGAATTACAAATGCAACCAAATAATGAAATTCTTCAAATCGATCTTTTGTCGAGAAAAATTCTCATCAGTCAACTTCGAAAGGTTTTCGTTGCTGCGCCAAATTTACGTGTTCTTCATGTCCACACACTCACCAAATATATAATAGAATTTACAGTGAAGAATCATCAAATGATTCGGGAAATTTGCTACGAGAACATCGAGGAAGAAGCTGAACAATTTTACGAAAGTTTGAAGTCATCATTTGATGAAATCAAGAATACAAAAGTCTGTTACCGAAAGTCGGCCCCAACAATAAATATCGTGCAAAAGCCCGATATTTAAAACTCCGGCAGTTATAGAATTTCTAGACGAACAGTATTAGTAAAAATCTAACTCCAATAAGGGGCCACTTTGTATAATGTTTCCACCTTCGATATTCCAGAAACTTTTCACACAAAGTGGCCCCTTATTGGAGTTAGATTTTTACTAATACTGTTCGTCTAGAAATTCTATAACTGCCGGAGTTTTAAATATCGGGCTTTTGCACGATATTTATTGTTGGGGCCGACTTTCGGTAACAGACTTTTTTCCCTTAAAAAAAACACGCTCTGACGCTTTGAAATGAGACACTCGTCTGAATTCTATACGAAGTTTTTTTTTCTTCGCGATGTCATCATCATCATCATCAGATCAAGGACAGGCACCTATAGGCCAATCCTGGCCATATAGGAACCACCATCAAAAGCCATAAGCGTTTTGAGGGCAATGGTCATAAGTGGCACGTGAAAATGACAACATTACGCAATTTCATCTTCGCGATGTTTTTTTTTTTTCGCTGTGAATGTTTTTTTTTTTTCGCTAGGAATGTTTTTTTTTTTTCGCTAGGAATGTTTTTTTTTTTTCGCTAGCAATGTTTTTTTTTTTTCGCTAGGAAAAGGGCAACTTTGTATGGCAGGTACCCGAAGTAATAAAGGTACACACCCCATAATTTGATAGAAACTTTCTATTTGTATTTAAAACACTTTGGTAAAGAAATTTTTCAAATCGGTTAAGAAATGTGGAAATGGGAGTGTCTACATCCATCCATCCATCCATCCATCCATCCATCCATCCAGACCCGAAAGCGGACACAAATTTTTTTTTCGTTTTTTTCCACTTTTCTCGACGTTTCAAGCCATTTTAAGTGTAACTAAGCAAAGAAAATTTTTTGAAATTTTTGCGTAAATCCAATACGGTTGCCCGTCACCCTAGGGTGGGGCCTCCGTAAAAATCTTTAGTCTTTTTAGTCTGTAAAGCTTCAGAATAATTTTTATAAATGCATCAAAACATTATGAAAACTCTGT